TCGTCGTCGTCATTAGGTCCGTACGAAACAGCCTCGGAGCGATTGGCACGCTGCTTGGCGTTGGTTGCGTCGTCCTCGTCCTCGCCCTCATCCTCATCCTCATCCTCGTCAGGCGGGGCGGGGCGCGCTCCTGAGCCGGTCACCATTTCGACCGCGCCAGCCTTGCTACCCACGACTGGTGTTGCTGCACTCGACATCATCGTCTTCTTCCTGATTTCTTTGAGCATCATCTTGAGCAGATGGCCCAAAAATTTCTTCTCAACAGCAGCCAGCACGTCTGCTGCCTCGATAGCATATGCCTTGGTGTACTCTTCGGATGGGAAGAACTCGAGACGAACATCGTAAAGTCGGTGCAGCGAGCCGTCCTTGCCCTTGCCGGCTCGCTCGTTCACAGATGCCATATCGAGCACGTGTGCCAGGGGTAGCACACTGATTGACTTTTGGAAGACCTCGCACTCTGCCGCTGATAGTTCAGCGATGGGGAAGAGCGTCATGGACGGGGTTGATATTGTCTTGCTCGCGGTCATGAGAATTTCTCGCAGGCGAGGGATACCAAGCGTCACGTTTTTAGCGGAGTGACCAGCCAAGTGGAAGGTGTTCAAAGTCATCTGTGTCGATGGCTCACCAATACTTTGGCCGGCCACAATGCCGACACCCTCGCCAGCTTCGACCAGCGACCGCATGTACTTGGCGGCAAGCACGAGCTCCGCAGATTTCTTGCTCACGCTAGGAATGAAGGACGTAGCAGGCCGCTTCTCTCCCTTCTCACGTACTAGGCCATCCTTGTTCTCTTTGATGTATTCCGTCATGCTCTCGTAAAACTTCTCCGACGTGGCAAAGGCAACTCGGGCGGGGTTGACCATAGAGATGACAGGGTCCTTACCTCCAACCTTGCCCGCCTTGGCATGCTTGATGGCGCTCTTCATGTGTTTCAGGATACTATCCTTGTTGCCGGCCAGCGTCTCCCGGAAGTCGCTGCTGAAGCCCAACTGCGCCGACTCTGATTCGATGTTGCGGAGGATGAAGCCGAAATCCGTCAGGTACTTTTGCTTGGTGGGATCCAGGCCATCCTCGCCGTACAAGAACTGGATCAGCGTGCCGTCTGCATCGCGGACAGTAGAGTCGTAGGAGACTGTCAATCCCTCCATGCCCTTGATAATACAGCGTTGCAGGTAGCCGGAACGAGATGTTTTGACGGCAGTGTCGATTAAACCTTCGCGTCCGGCCATGTGGTGGAAGTAGTACTCTTGTGGCCGAATACCAGTCAGGAAGCGCTGCACAATGTAGCCGCCGGCCCGGACACTGGAGTCAAACGGTTTGAAGCAGGGCAGTGACTTGCCACTGACCATCAATGGCACCCTTCTGCCCTCCAAGACCTGCTGCCCCAGGTTGCACGAGATGAGGTTCGCGTTGACTGGTCCACCCTTCGCTCCAGACACGGTCATGGCTTGCATCTGGTTTTTGGGAAACTGCTTCACCAAACCACTCGGAAGGCAGGCCTTCGTGATCGCCTGTGAAAGCTCGCCGCTGCGTTGGTTCATGAGCATATCCAAGCCTTCTTGCTTGTTGTCGTCGCGCATGACCTCCTCGAGGCGGACGAGTAGTTCAGCATCCGTGCTGGTAGGGTTGCTGTCTCCGAGAGAGACATACTTAGTCGCCACTTGTAGTCCAATGTCACTGGCCTCCCTGAGCGTTTCTCGTCGAGTTTGTTCTCCCTCGGGTGTGAGCCTCAAGTCATCCATGCCGCAAGTGAAGGCTCGCATATTTGAATATCTTGTGAGAAGTCTGCCTAGACTGCTAAGAAGCTTCCCAGCAATAGCAGGGCCATACACCTCGTGAACGGAATGAATGAGGCCGCCAGAGCTTGGGCCAAGGTGAGCCTTGTCGAGTATGCCGTGCAGGAAGTGGCCGTCCTGGAAAAGAACTATACCCTCTTCAGAGCCTTTACCCCAGCGATCGGCGGGTGTCTGAGTCTTGCCACTCATCCAGATGCCTTCGCCAGTCGGTGGTTTGATGTTCTTGAGAATGGTTGTGATGACCTGCTTTCCCGTCCATCTTGGGACTGGTTTGATGATGGCAGGAGGGACGAGTTCGAGGCGTTCGCCGAGGATGTGCCCGCTCTCGGGCCGAAGAGCAGCATAAACTAGCTGCTGGAAATCACCACGAGTAAAAAACGAGTCTCTACTACACAGAGAGACCGAAACTGAAATGTGATCCTGAATGAGGCCTCGTAGTGGCTTTCCGGCGGTACCTGAAAGGTACTGGTGGTCGGTGTCTGCGATCTGCAGCGCCTCTGCGCGAGCAACTTCGTTTTGCGGAAAATGCATGTTCATTTCGTCTCCGTCGAAGTCGGCATTGTACGTATTGCAGTTGGCATAATGCATTCGAATCGTCTTCTCGCCAGGCAGCACACGTACACGATGACCCATGATGGAGGGCTTGTGCAATGTCGGCTGACGGTTCATGAGCACGACATCTCCGTTTGTAAGATGTCGGTACACCTTCTTGTTCCTAACACCACTCGTGTTGCTATCGGTTGGCGCGAGAAGCTGGTTGGCCAAGGAAATTCGGTCATCCGCCGACTTGCCGCGGAGGTTGGTGATCTGCCCGTTTTCGTATTCGATAGCTGCCGCGCCGGGCCACTTGTCAACGCCATTGATTACAGCTCGCTGCATGTCTCTGAAGTTGTGACTGGTGACGGGCTCGGGAAATGTCAGCTTTCGTGCGAAGACAGGAGGCACACCAATCTCGTTGGTCTCGATATTGGGGTCTGGTGAAATGACACTACGAGCAGCGAAGTTGACACGCTTGCCCATCATGTTTTTGCGGAAGAGGCCTTCCTTCTTTTCCAGCTTCTGTTTGATGCCCTCCTCATTCCTCTTCGCGGCGGCACCCATCACGGGGTTTTTATCTTTGTCGATCAGTGAGTTGACGGCGTTCTGTAGATCGGTCCACGCTTGGTGCAAGTCCGTCATTGTCCTTGCACGTCGCTCGGTCGTCGCTCCACCGATGCTCTGGTGGACACGGGCAATCGTCCCGCAGCTTCGGAGCACTAGCTTGTACAGCGAGTTCTGTTGCGCTTCAGAGATCTCCGAGTCACCTGTACGGGCCTCAGGTCTGAATCGATTGGGAGGGACCAGGAGCGTCTGTAGGAAGAACATGTCCGCAGAAACTTTTCCGGCCTTCTTCTTGAGAGGCTTGGAGTTGTAAACAAGTGACAGGACCTCCTGCTCCTTGTCGAATAGCTCTCGCAAGCGCTCTCGTACTTCCATGGCCGTGATGTATCGTTGGCTGCGCGCAGAAGCTTTTGCTTGGCCTTCAGACACCTTGGCAGCCTGTCCCTCGCTTTCAGAGCTGGAGTCGGGTTCGGCCATGTTGACATCCCGGTCAGCGTCGGATGCTGAAGAGTCCACATCAGCAATGGCCTCGTCCGATGTATATCCATTCGACTTTGTCTTGGACACTGGTGTCGCTGCGGTCATGGCGTCTTTGGTTCTGAGGTTGGTTTGCGCCATCTTTGCGGCATCTCGCTCGGATAGAGGCTTCTCAAATATTTTCACGAAGGCGTCCTTCCTGTAAGAGGCGAGATGCCCCCGCAAGTGTCGCATTTCTTTGGCTTCGGGATCGCAGCCATGAATTCCTTGATGAGCTCTCTACGAATCTCCAGCGCACCTTCGTGTTTTCCTTTGCGCACATCACCGACGGTGGCTTTGTGTTCTTTAAGTTGGCGCTTAACGAAGAACTCTCGGGCCCGGATGAGATTGTCGGCACCACTGCCCTCCTCTTCCGCTTCGGCAGTCTCGGTCACGCCAGGAATCTGGAGGCCCTGGAAATCCTCTCCGACGGCATCAATCAGGTGGGCAGCTCTGAGCAGGCCATGCTGTAGGAGTCGCAACTTGCACGAGTACAGGTGGACGTCGCGTTGACGGAGGCGGAGGCCTTTGCAATAAACGCATTGCGCCCGTAGTAGCCGTAACACTTGGTCCAGGAATACGGGATGGTAGACTGGAACTGGGAGCTCAATATGGCCCGCGTGGCCCGGACAGGAGGATTGATTGAGGTTGCATGTCGAGCAACTGGACAAGTAAAGAGTCAGCACCGCGGCGAAGCTAGAGTTCGATCATGTCGCATTGGTTCAAGGACGTACATAGAGTCGCCCCAGGAGCCAAGAGCTGGATCATAGAGACCTCCGGGGACCGGGTTCAGAAGGTTGTCGAATGTGCTGTCGTTTTCGATCCTCTTGACCGAGATTGCTCGGATCTCCGTCTCGGTAAGAAAGGTGAATTCAACCGTCTCGACGGTGGACGAGATAGGTTGCGAGATGTTCATTGCGCCGCTAGGTCTTCAGGACCATCCCAGGCAAAAAAAGACGTTTGGGCCGCCGGGGTGTCGTGAAGAGCGACAAAGGTGCAGGCGCGCTTGCAATCTATTTTGCGAATTATCCGTCCTACTCTCACGACGGCTGCATTGAAAGCTTGGAGGGGATTTTTTTTGGCGGTAGAGTCTGGCAAAAAAAATGCCGGGTGGGGCAATCTGCGTTTGCTTAGGTGGGTCGGCCAATGTAATCACAATATGCCTTATCTAAGATATATGGGGCTATACTGATTGCAAAGGTGTGGCGCAGGTCTTGCCGGGTTTGTCTCTGCGGCTCCGAGCAAGAACGTGCCTACGCCTACCTACCTACCAGCCATATTCAGGTGTCTTTTCAGAGCGACTGACCCTGATCATAGAACGGGTCTGGTCCTCAAACTGCGTCGCGTTCGCACTTGCCGACCAAAACAGCCGTACGACCTCCATCAGCCGGTGTTTGTTCTCGCAACCGAAATAGACTCCAAAGCGCCACGCACGCCCAAAATATACCTGGCTCAGCCGATATCACAATTACCAACGTCCATCCAGGAGACAACTTCTTGATGGATCGCCGGCAGCAGTCACCTGGTCTCGGGCCTCGTCATGATGCTGCTTCACGCATACAGAAGGCTGAGTCAGTGGCTGACAAGATGGCTGCACTCAAGGCTCGCGTAGCTGCTGCGATCGGAGGCAGTAAAGCCAAGGGTGGGCTGAATGTTGGCCTCCATCCGGCTTTGGAGGATTTGGGGTCCTGGAAGCCGTCAGGCTCTTCGACAGATGTTCGCAATGCCAGTCAGAGGCCCCCAGCGCATGCTTCCAAAGGGGCGAAGACCTCGACCATTTCGCATGACTTGCTGCGCAACCGTACCGACCAGCACAGCAACCCATACTTCGATGAACAACTGGCCGCACAGCCATCGGCTGGGAAGCAACGACAATCACGCCAGCTTGTTTTCAACCAAAAGGGCAAATACATCCAACAGGCCAACGCCTTGAGGCGGCAGGCTGCTCTCGAAGCAATGAAGAAGCGCATCGCAGCGCAGACGAGGAAGGCTGGCATCGACGACGAATTGGATCTAGAGAAAAACTTGATTGTGGACGCCCCTCCCGAGATTGAATGGTGGGACGAGGGACTGGTGGACGGCAACTACGACAGCATCGACGACGCTGCGCGCCTCAAGATTGAGAGCCCAGACAGTATCGTCACGGAGTATATTCAGCATCCAGTGGCACTCGAGCCACCGCAAGATCGAAAGGCTCCGGCTCCCAAAGCCATGTATCTGACCTCGAAGGAGCAGGCAAAACTGCGCAGACAGAGGCGCATGGCCGAGCTCAAGGAGCAGCAAGCAAAGATTAGACTGGGTCTTGTTCCGGCACCACCCCCCAAGGTGAAGAAAAGTAACATGATGCGCGTTTACGCAGATTCGGCCGTCAAGGATCCCACCGCTGTGGAGACCATGGTCAATCGTCAGATCGCAGAACGGCAGCAGACTCACCAGCTAGCCAACGATGAGAGAAAGTTGACGAAAGAACAAAAACACGAGAAGCTCGCCGCCAACCAGGAGAAAGACGCCGCCAGTGGCATTCACATAGCCGTGTTCCGGATTAACAGCCTGGCCAACGGACAACATCGCTTCAAGATTGGAAAGAACGCGGAGCAGCACTCATTGACCGGAATCTGTATCATGCATCCCCGACTGAACCTGGTTATCGTTGAGGGAGGTGAGCACAGTATCAAGAAATATAAGCAACTCATGCTCAACCGTATCGATTGGACGGAGAATTCGCGTCATTCGAGAAGAGCGGACCGCAGCAGGTTGCAAGAGACTGGCTCATTGCTGAAAACGAGCAAGGGGGCTTGAAAGACATGTCATCGAACGAATGTAAATTGGTTTTCGAGGGTGAAGAGAAAGCTCGGGCGTTCCGTAAATGGGGCAGCAAGGTGTGCGAATCAGACTCTGAAGCGAAGGATGCTTTGACACGGGCGAAGATGGACAATTTCTGGGCACTCGCCAAAGGCATGTAACGGTCATTATCAAATGCAGTGTTGGGAGGAAGTTCCATGAGCAGTGTGAAATAAACGGTCATGTTGGGCGAAGATCAGGCATGACACGTGAAACAAACAGGTCGCCTGAATAGCGACCCCCGTCTGTACACCAGAAGGCGAACACTCATCATCAGAAAAATGTAGCATCTGTAACAGAAGATTTGTGAGCAGTTCAGATGTAATCCCCGCTAACCAGCCCAGTTATTGATACTGCGATCCGAGCATCTCCGAGCCGCCGCCAGGCGCAGTTCAGTACTGTGTGTATCAAGGGTGAACTTAGCTTGCCACACTCAAGAGCCCGATACTGGCCGAGTGCGTACTGTTACCATCATGCACATCACTAGCACACACGTGACAATCGAAAAGTAGTGGCCAACATGATGGTATGGTAAGACGTGCTCATGGGAAAGGCGCAGGGTGGCGGTGTGGAGCCTCGCTTGTTGCAGCATAAGCTACGGTCGACAGGATTCGTATGACGGCAGGTCAGGAGATAGGCAGCAGGGCAGAGATCTCAGCACAGATTCATGTGACATATGGATGACTCACTGTTGCCTCGTTCGACAGAGTCAAATGAGAGTGGTAGCATCTCAAAGCAAGCCCGCCCTGGTGGTCACCAGATTCAAGGGGAGGGATCCATAAACCCAGCATGGCGCATAAGGGCCGCAGCTGACGGCCGCGCGCAGCCGGCACGTGTATAGCAGCAGGGGAAAGGCGCGGATCGAGAAAATACGGACAAAACAAAATCATGCGCAGGACAGCATTTAGATCATAATGTTTGCATTCCGTTGCGCAGCTTGCTGGCTAATGCTGCCGATGCTGCGGGTAATATACAGCCCTGTCGCGTAAAACACTCATTCGATAACGGCCTGATCCCCTAAACCCTGCGACGGACCTTTCGTCAAGGAATTCCCAAACGAGTCATGAAACCACCCTGCCGAGAGAAAGACCAAAGAAAAAAAAGCTTAGTTGCGCTCACCCACGGAGGCGACGAAGCAAGCTGGAATGTCCTTGGAATTGGATGGTGCCACGCTTTGGCGTGGATGGCGCACAGGTTGGTGGTCCTCAAACAACGGAGGCGAGGTAAGTCTCAACAGGATTCCTGAAGGGCGCCGATGGCAGGCGACTGGAAACCGGAGATCGGGACTTGAAGTCCTGGGCGATCTCAAGGACCCTGTAAGGGGGGTGTTAGTTTAGCATATCGTGCCCAAGAATATTTCGGTGTCGGGTGTAGAGCTTTCCCAGACGCTGGAAGGGGAGCTTGCGGATGAGCAGCTCGGTCGACTTCTGGTAGCGACGGATCTCACGGAGAGCGACGGTACCAGGCTTGTAACGGTGGGGCTTCTTGACACCGCCGGTAGAAGGAGCGCTCTTGCGGGCGGCCTTGGAGGCGAGCTGCTTGCGAGGGGCCTTGCCACCAGTGGACTTGCGGGCGGCTGAAAAGGATGGGTTAGTCGGGGTCCGAAGAGGCATTACAGAGTAAACTCACTTTGCTTGGTGCGAGCCATTGTTAATGCGGGAAGAGGTTGATGTGGCTGATGGGGTTGTGTTGTTGTTGTTTGGGTGTGGAGGCGTTGAGTGGATGATGATGCAGGAGAGAAGATGGGATTGGAGAAGTGGAGGGGGAGAGGAATAAATAGGAAGGAGAGGGGCGGCAGCGGTATTGGGTGATTTGGGCGACTGATCTGGGGCGCGCGGGCGCGACAGAAACAAGTTGGTCCGTGCGTGCCAGCAATCAGTAACTTGAAATTCAGGCCTGGCGAAAATGGTGCCTGCCAGGGGTCCATTTCTGAACCTCAAGGAACCGATTTTGATTGGCTTCTTTCCAGCACCCTAGCCCCATTTGCGGGTTTACATCTCGACAACGTGCATTACGCCTTGCCTGTTTGGTGCTGCCACGATTTCAAGCGTGGAGGCGAGTTGAGCCTCTCCAGCTGTCGGGTGATGTCTACCTGTCACGGTCCGGGAGACTGACGATGACGACTTGGTTGTCACGTTACTCAAACATGTCTGGGGTCGATCTGTTTAATGCAGCAGGCATTTCTTATCTTGTCAAAAATGGGCTAACAAGAAGGGGGGGAATGAAGTGTGTTTGGCATCCCATCCCATGCATCATCATGATCATTATCTCCAGCATCTTACGAATTCACGACCCTGCTCGTCAACAGCGCACGGGATTGAACGCAGCTAGCAAGCCACGTTATAACAATGTATCCTCCCTTCGCAAGGCATGATCTGGTAGATTGGCCTGTTACGAGGCCGAAGGTACGCCTGATTGAAGCTTCACTCCAGCTCCAGACATGAGAGCTTCCATATCTGTCTTGACAACACTGTCGTGTGTGTGTGCGTGTGTGCGTGTTGCTGTCAACTGCCGGGTCCGTGCCCAGCCCATCGATTCGACCTGGTCGAGAGCGCGCCCTGGCAGTCTGTCAAAGGGATGCGTTTGAATGGACAGGGGGCTGTTTTGATTTTCGGGTTGTTGTGGATTTGGTATTTCGAGCCAAATCGCGTCGCCCCAAGTCCATGTCGGGTGACCCACCCCTGCAGGTCCCCCTCCCTGCCTCACCAAATATCAGAATACGTACCGCAACGCGCCCCCATTCTTTGGACTGATCCCGTTGCACGACGCGCCTCGCATTTCCGGTATAAAGCGCCCCCCACTGCACGCCGCGTTTCCCTCTTTCTACTCACCAACCCAATCAACCCCATCACTCTAATTTCATCCACACGAGCTCATCGACGCATCTCAACCTCTGTTGAGACTTGACATCCATTTCACACTTTCCCCCTCAACAACAAGATGACTGGACGTATGTTGCACCTCTCCTACGGAATATTCCCTCCATTGCTAACAACATCTATCAGGCGGCAAGGGTGGCAAGGGCCTCGGCAAGGGTGGCGCCAAGCGTCACCGCAAGATTCTTCGTGACAACATTCAGGGTATCACCAAGCCCGCTATCCGTCGTCTCGCCCGTCGTGGTGGTGTCAAGCGTATTTCTGCCAGTAAGCTCTAGACCGTATTCTCGTCCGCACGTGGATTTGACTAACGGCCCCTAGTGATCTACGAAGAGACCCGTGGTGTTCTGAAGTCCTTCCTTGAGGGCGTTATTCGTGACGCCGTCACATACACTGAGCATGCCAAGCGCAAGACTGTCACGTCCCTGGACGTGGTCTATGCTCTGAAGCGCCAGGGCCGTACTCTTTACGGTTTCGGTGGTTAGACGTCTTTACTTTGTGCGATTGGCATGTCTCTTATGAATCTCTTTCCGGGGCATGGCGCGCTTCGTTCGACGCGCCTAGACGCGTGGGCGCAGCGACAATGGACATTGGGGTGTGGGTGTTCTTGCGACATGAATGACTACGGACTGGCTGGCTTTTGGGTGTTTACTTGTACATACGGGTTGGGCTCTATGGATTTGGGCTTGAGGTTAATCGATTCCTCGCCGAGGTGTGCTCTCGACATGAATTAATCCGTTTCGCGTGATGTGAAACGCTGTGTCCTTCTCCTCTGCGCGTGTCGTCTAACTGGTGGTGTTTTTGTTGCGGAGGGCGGCATGGGTGGCGGTTCCCGATTGCAACCTCCTGTTGCGGCAAAGTGTGTTCGCTCGGCGTTGTGTATTTTTAGGGCCACTGAGGACGACAGTCAAGTGTTCTCGGGCTGAACGATCTACACGTGATGGACGTGGTGTTCGTGGTGGTCCGAGACGCGTTAGGTCTTTTACAGTTGTTGGCTGTCTTGAGAACCTTTCGTGGAAGTACTCCACGAAATCCCTTTGCCTTGTAATCGATGATCTGACTGTGCACGAAGTTCCATAATCTGCTCGGGCGGTGATCTCAAGATGCTTGCTCTCATCGTTAACCAGCGATATTTTATCACGGCTGCTTCCACGACTCGTAGGGATTGTCCCTACTCTTGGCGGCACGGTGTTTGTTTTTGTGTGGTGTTCCTGCCAGCAATACAACACGCTTTGCTAGCTGACGTTAGTGACTGCTCCTGCTGCGTATATCTCCCATGGGGGTAACTGGGTTCTTTTGGGGGGTGTCTGGTTGTATTGGGGATGCTGTTCAAGCTGCATGGAACATGACCGGCCATTCGACTGGCTGTGTAAATGACACGCATCAAGACTTGAAAGGCATATCGACACTGGGCGCTCATCTTCATGATCCGAGGACAGGCTTGGATGTCATCAGTGCACGCTTTGCGTGACGTCTGTCGGAAACTATTAAACTTCGTGCCATCCGCTCACGGTTATAATTATCTTACGTAGTGAGAAATCATATTGCACAGTCGATTGATTAGAGCCCGAGGGAAATGTAACTATTTTCAGTTCCACCGAGCGCAAAGGTGCATAGGGCCTCCTGTGTTCTAATTTCTATCGAATAATAGTAACTGTGCCTGGGTTCTGGCTGCTGTTAGCCTTGTTCTGGTGAAGTGGGAATATTGCCCTGCATTTACCTCTCACATCACGACAGGGCACATCCGGACAAAATCAACCACCGGCAGACCACGCTCGCCAATACAGCAGTGTCACGCGATGAGAATGTATTTTTACTAGGCCGAAAATACAGCATTTTTCTGTTGCAGCCGACGTCACGGTCGTCATCCTCATATCATCGAACAATACACAGTACTAGACCTACGACAAAGCTATAACCTAACGCAAATGCAAGCTCCCCCTTGACCTTCTAAATACATCAATCAACAAGACTTGAATCACGTCCATGAAGGAACCACGTGAGCTATAGTCGTCTCGATATTTACCATCGACATAACGTGGTCCAAATATAATGGCCCATTGGGTTTTCATACGTCGAGATGCTGCATGTTTAACACTTCGGGACAGACATCACGTGACGCGTTTATGAACCGAAACCGAACCCAGCGAGAGCCTGAACACAAGCACGGACCCCACGCGAGATCCCCGCTGCAATACTCACTCTACTACAGTAGTGAACTTGAACTAGCGAATGTAGAATCTCCCACTCGGGTAGATGCGGGGGGTGGGCCCTCCGGCCGGACAGACCGATGGAGTGTGGAGCAGGCGCCCGCGGTCACCTAAAAGGTGCACCCAATCTTCCGGGAAGTGGCTGAGCCTAACACCGAAAATGGAAGACTCAGCCACAGGCTTGAGCCAATGGAACTGTCACATGAGCGCACACCCAAGCTTGGCAAGACCAGATGGTATTTTTGGTGTGGGAGATGGTACCCAATCCAGAGGTTTTTTTCTTTCGAGACAGGATCTCCGGTGTTCCGCCGCGCTCTCCGAGGGTTTCTAAGCATCCAGCTCGCAACGAATTTTCTCGCCCATGCAGCTTTGTACATGCGACCGGCCTCAGCTAGTGTCCCCCCTCCGTACCCCCCCTGGATCCTCTGGATTCTATTGCGCATTACTCACGATGCTCAACTGCTGCATGCGTGGAACGGCAGGCCCGATATCGCCAGACTCAAGAGGATGAAGGAACTGCTTGTCGCTGCCGAAGCCGACTGGGCCCTACGGTAGAAGCTGTGCGTGCAACCACAATTGAGGCAACAAGCTCACTGCCGCCGGATCTTGGATCTAGATCTGCAATGGAATCTAGCACCGGAGGCCTAGGGCCACACTGGAAGACTTACGATGACAGTCGCCTGATGAACAGCCCCCCCGAGGCAAGGCCACCAGCTAAAGTCGTACAACAACACGCCAAGCCGCTGACCCTTCGTAGCAGTCATCGAAGCTTGCAACCACCTGATGGGAAAATACTTGACTGCATGCGCAGACGAAGTCAACCGTCTGCATACGCGCTAGAAGGGCAGAGCGCACGTTTTTTCCTTTCCTCTATGCCTGACCATTCACATCGAACGACAAGGCGAGGCAGCCAGCCTATCGCTCTCGTTCGGTGGTGACGAAACAAGGGAGAAGCTAGGAAGACAAAACATACACCCTCTTCCCCCGAAACCACCATGCATGCATACAGGCTGTGTAGGACAGACCGTAGTGCTCGTGGCCCCTGTGTAGCTGGACCAGCGAGAGCTTTCGGTCGCCACAAAGGTGACGTTGCACCGCCGTTCAGAGGAGAAAGGGGAGCATGTATGGACCTGTTGAGCCACAAGCGCATGGCTAGATGTGGCGCGGCGGTGCACAGCGCACAGCAACAGCGAGCAACAGCGCGACAAGGGCATTGGCTTCGGCCTCAGCGGGCCAGGCCTGCGGGAGGCAGGCCGACTGTTCTGCAGGACCCACTTCAGTCTCGCCGACCATTGGAGGAGTCATCGTCGTAGGTACAGCCAAAGTGAATACGTCACCCCACATTGGGCGCAACCCCTTCCCACTTGTTTCCTTCGTTCCTCGTTCCCACCACCCCAGCTACGTTTCCCAAGACCTGGCACAGCTGGCTCGGTGCCGTTCGGGGCAAAACCGAGTCCTAGTCTGCAGACACGGGAAGAGGGGCCATGCGCGAGTTCGACTCGCAAGCTGCGAAGCGTCACTCCGTAGGGCTGTTGCGAAAGAATGACTTTTAGTCACTGACCTCGTGACCAAATGCCGGCATGACCCAGACTTGCGTCCCCCCCATCTAGGCAGCCAGAACTCGAGGCCTCGGCCTCGGCCTCGAGTGCGCGAACATGGACAGGCACGGAAACACACGTACGGGAATGAGGGTAAGGTCCGCTTGGGGGGTGCAGTGACGGAACCTGGAACTGGTGGGTGGCCGATGGCCGAAGCAACAACGAGATTCCCCGGCTTTCCATGTCATCATGGCCATGTCGGACTTAGGCTTTCGATCGATCACTACTGCATTGGTAAGTCGCTAAGGAATCTTGGTGATCTAGCTAGGTAAAGGCCCCGGGGGTACGTAACTCCGGGGCCTCCAGTCCTGCTGATTGATGACTTGGCATCTGACGGG